CGATTTGCCAGGTATATAAAATATATTTTCGACGATAACAAAGAACGACGCATTCTGTTGATTATTGACTTGAGTCTTTTTTTTTGTAAATGTCAACATTCACTTTGGTGCGTCATTTCAGTAAGCGTCAATAGTCATATACGATAAGAGTAGATTATTTATATGCTGGTATACACACTCCACACAATATTTTCGCAAGAGAAAATGATCGTCCGAACTTTCACTGTATTGTTATATATCATTGGGGTGTTTTCAAAGAGTCGTGCTATCGTCAAGCTGAATGTACTATTGTCATCACATGAACCTAAATAGTATGTTTCTTCTCATTTTTCTGAAGCTTCCAAATATGTTTGTATCGAAATTTCTTCACGGCGTTATCAATGAACTTGCTATTTTGAACATTTTAGTAAGAAACGATAGTTGTTGGTGTGCTTATTTGTACCACTAGCAAGCAACTACCATGAACTGCAGCTTCGATATCCTTTAGTAGTAGACATAGTGCAAACATTCAAAGCTCTTTAGAGCTTCACTGAGCATGATGCTGTCCTTTATATGAGAAAACCATGAGATTTAACCATATTTTAGAAGTTTTTATTTTTTTTATAGTTTTCCTGCTAATTATATGATCGAGGGCTCAAGATACATATTTGGCTAGAAGACCATGTGAGCGTAGGAATGAGTAGGTGTAGGTGTGAGTGGATGGAAACCATAGGGTGTTGAGTGGATGTATTTTCACTTGAAGTTCTCATGTACCCACGCACATACCCACACCTACAAATATAATGCAAACATTAGCAGACAGTAAATTTAAATCAGTCATAAATACTCATTATATGCCGTAAGCATTGACAGAAGGCACATCGCCATTGGAAAATTGCGTTTGGCGCTCATCTAAGGAAAATGTCGAAAATAAACATTCCCTCATAACAGAAGCTCTTCCATCGTTACTTCTTCAGTCTTTTCCTTTATTGTCAAAAGAAGAATTGAATAATTCATATTGCAAATGTGCTATATCACATGGAACTGATACATATTTCACTATAGCTTCTATTTGAACAAGCATTTTCTTTCCTTACAATCCAGACGACATGTACACGATGGTATTAACATCTACCATCTTTTTCGTTCCATGTATTTTTTGTTCTCCAAACTTTATTTGCTATTAATAATTAACCATCTGAGGGCAAACCTCGTATATATATATATATATAGTTTGAAAGTTTTTGTCGAAGTGAAAGTCTTTGGAGTGATTCAAGTAAATACTTCGAATGTTGTGTTTTTTTTTCTTATCGTAAAATTCTCTTTTTGTACGCTTAAAGTGCAAATTAGTAAGACAATCAAGATAGTAAAGGAGCAGTCATCCTATTCCGCAATGTTGAACATTGCAGAATCAGTGTCATCCAATTCCGGAAACTCTATCATTATTCAACATACGGGACCTACTCGACATTGATCGAGTTCCGTCAATTCCAAGAAATCCGGGAACTAAGCAAAGACGGAATTACTCCAAATTTAAAGGAATTCAGAGCAATTCCAAAATCGGAAGAAATTACTAGGAATTCTTGGGAATTCCGAGCTATTCCGTCTCCATTCAATTCTGGGAGTTCCATACCGGAATTATGCAGTTATCTCAAAGATTAACCTTCTATCACAACAGGATGCGTGAGGGTGAGGCCGAGAAGTAATTCCCATACGGAATTCCGGAATCGGAAGGAATTCCTAGGAATTCTCGGAAATTCTGTCTCCACTCAATTCGCGGAATGTCGTACCGGAATTACTTAGTTATTTCAGAGATTAATCTTCAACTACAACAGGATACGTGAGAGTGAGAGTGAGAAGTAATTCCGGTACGGAATTCGAGAATTGGAAGCAGTTCCCGGAATTCCAATTAATTCAGTTTCAATCGAATTCTTGGAATTCAGGTAATTGCCGGAACTCGATCAATATTGATTAGGCCTGTGTTGTAGCATGCTGATCGAGTTCCCGGAATGGAAGAGAATTGATTCTGGGTGCGGAACTGATTCCGTAATGTTCAACATCGCGGAATAGGATGTATTCTCATAGGGAGCGCTTTTTAAATGATTATAAATGTTGACACTTTCGCTTTATTTCTTTCATAAAAAAAAGAAGTCGGTCTTCAAAGCGTTAATATGCCATGCAATGCAATAAACTTTGTACTTTCGAGCTATACATCATAAATGGAAAAAACGCAATAGTCTTAACCCTTTCCAGCCGACTCCCAAAAGGCAGATAGCAAGAAAATATTGTCTTGCATATTTTTTGTTGCTCCACCACAGTGATACCAAAAATATATTTTTCAGAATAAAAAAATTTCTTTTGTATCCAATGGCTACATGTTGCCATTTGGCAACACCCGGTCGTAACGGGTCAAATTAGTTGAAAAAGTTTTTTTCGATTTCGATTATAAAAATGCATTATTCAGTACCTCTTCGTTTATTAAAAACACTTAAACATGAAAAGAATTACTCAAACATAGATAGAGTGTCTCCATGCAGCTTTTTCAAAATTTAAATTTCGTTTTTAGTGACAAAACTCCAGTGCATGAGACTAGCAGTTCTCCAAAAAGGACACAGAAAACAATAATTGGTTTGAATATGAATGTGCGTGTAGATAAATGAAAGACCTACACCGACGTCTGCATTTAACTCACGATGCACCTATTCTTGTTCGGTTATTACACTCTGAAGGCTAGCAAACTTGAATTTTGCCACTAAAAACTAGATTTAAATTTGAAAAAAAGCTGTGGAAAGCATTCTATACATGTCTGAGTCATATTTTCTTCTAAACACGTTTTGAACAAACGAAAAAACATACAATAATGCATTTTGATGATCGAAATCGAAAAAAATTTTTTCAATTTTTTGACCCATTACGGCCCGCTGTTGCCAAATGGCAACATCTATAATTTTCATTGTTCGAATTTACTGAACAATCCTTTTTATTAATGCAACATGCAATAGATCTAAGCAGCAAAATTTACAGCCAATGACTTCTAGTATTGAATCAGTCAATCTGCATGAAAATGTATTTTACGGTTGAATGGCTTCTATGGGATATTGTAGATAAATTCGGCTATGTTCTCAACGAAAAGTTCCTTTTTGTATTGGAAACCGTGAGTGTATGCAGAAATGTACTGCAGTAATTATCAAATAGTTAAAAAGTTTTATATCTTTACTATAAGCAAGCCATCCTAGAAATATTGACTGAATGTTGCCAAATGGCAACATCCGGCCGGAAAGGGTTAAGCAAGCAAGATCGATATCATAATATCCATAAGTCAGATATTAAGATTCTAAATATACGTGTAAGGATATTCACGTAATGCATTCTTGGTTAACCAATGCCGTTCATTTAGAAATTCTAAGTGTTTTGGTGCAATGAGATCGATACCCAACTCGGTACTTACATAACTGCAAAGGTGAGAATTTTTAATGAATTTGGTGCAAATGTAAGTGGTATGGATGCTTTTGTGCATCTCCTATTGATCTACAGTCCAACCCTCGCATACCGCGCCCTACACACGTATCAATGCTCATAGTCCACACTCACATGCTCTATCTCGTTTCATCAAATTCACTAAAAATTCTCATCTGTGAAATTATATTTAGGTATCAAGTTGAATATCTCCTTAGGCGAGTATCGTGATGTTTAGCTTACAATTACTCAGTGTATGGATATTATGACATCTCTGACAAGAGAAACAAAGGATTGAATTTGACTAGGTGTACACCGTAAAATCTCCTTTGGCCGAACTACTTCAGTTAACGGCTCATTTTCTTATCATGTTTTAGATTTTTTAATTATGGATTGCAAAACAGAAAAAGCAGTTCCAATGTTTATTAAGCCAGAAGATTTACATTTGTATAAATCTTTTAAATTTGTTGATGTACGCAATCCTAACGCCTATGCTGAAGGTCACTTGAAAAATGCTGTTAATGTACATGATATATTCACATACTTATTGCCTACATCGGCAGAAAATGCTCTTAATCAGATGGAAAACTATTTTAAAAATCGATTTAGTGAATTAGGAATAACTGGAAAGGAGCACATAATTATTTATGAAAATAGCATGAACAGTCAGTATGGTGCATCATGTCGAGGATTCTTCATATTTAAGTATATGAAACATTCCAAAGTTTCAACACTCGAAGGTGGCTTAGAGGCATTGCTGCTTACAGAAGGTGGTGCACAACAAATAACAAAGGAGCTGCCAACAATCATACCATGTCAGTATGAAGGACAAGATGATAATGTCACCGATGGCCTAATGGCCAATCGTGATGATGTTTTGCAAATCATCCATAATAAACTGCCAAGAACATGGTTATTGGATGTACGAGATGCAATTGAATGGAATGGTCTGTCGTCAAGTCCATATGGCGTTCACTTCACACCTCGAAAAGGAAGAATCCCAGATTCAATCTGGATTGAATGGTACAAATTCCATGAGTTGGACAGTGACAAACGTGTAGTTAAATCAACATCAAATGAACAAATTCAAGCTCTATTGAAAGAAAAAGGCATTCAAAGCAATGATGAAATCATTGTGTATTGTTTTAAAGGTTCAAGAGCAGCTGTAGCACTGATGAAAATGAAACAAGCTGGATATACTAATGTTAAAAATTACTTTGCATCATGGAATGAATGGTCTCGTGACCCACAACTACCAATCGATGATAGAATATTTGTGGATACCCAAGCATAACATATTCAAATTATATTTTTATTCAAATTTGAAAATGTTAAATTTTTTAAACTGACATGTTCACTGAAATAAATCCACAGTCCTAGATTGAGTCATTTGCTTACTCTTTTCTGCACGTTCCATCAATAGCTAATAACTGTTGTTTCTCGATTTCAAATTATTTATGAAAATTCTTAGGTATTATTAATAGGTAACAGAAAATCAGAACTCATATCTATATTATGAGTAGAATAATGTCTCTTAAGTCGTCGTTTCAACGGACCATTTGTTATTAATCACTTGAAGCTATGAGTAAAGCATCAATTGTTTCTAAATATTAATTTTACCTAAAAAAAATCAAAAGTAACGTGGAAATTGTAGAAAAAACAACAACAGTGAAAAGACAAATTCTAATTCTGATTGTAGAAAAAAATGAGTTCTGCAAATATTCGAATATTACTTTTATTATTATGAAACAGAACACGCTATATTAAATTTACACTTCATATTTTTCATGTATTAAGTAGGCGACAGGTCGCAAGTTGTCTCTTCTTAATCAATGCATTGAATTCAACAATATTTTGAATATGACTTAAGGGGATCCCCTCCCCTCCCCCCAATTAGAAAACCCCATTTTTTGAAGAAAAATCGAAATAGAGTTTTTCCCCCAGAGAGATGCGCCGAAGCTTCCTCTTCTCGAATATTGGTAGCTTTTTGCAGAACGATCAGATTTTCGTGGACTTATCGATAAAAAACTCAACCACTCTACTACCATGTTTTACGAAAAATTTTCGTAATTTTTCAAAATTTTTCAATATAGTTTTATTTACTTTATATATTAAACGTTGTACATTCTCTCAGATCGTGAAAATAAACGATATATTCCTTCTGCTTCCATAGGACCTATATGGTTAAAATAGAAATGGCTGAATGAAATAATACTTGATGAGCTTGAATGATTTATTTCACATTTATGTTTATTTTTAATTTCTTCATATTTTGTTGGATTTGAATGTTTGCTACTAAGTGCACCTGTAAAAATTGAACAACTTTTTGATAGTCTCTCCAAATCCAACACCTATAGAATTTGAATGATAACATATAGAAATATTTTTATCTGATACGTACTTTTGCACTGGAACCGGTTGACATTATTTCAACAATTCCATGTAAACTAGAAAAACCGCGTTTTGGCCAGGTTCCATATCCGCTTACGGTAAATTTACGTTTATTTGATTCACTACGTGCTTCTTCTATAGCATTTTTCATTGAATTGAGCTTGTGTGATTCAAATACCGGAAGTATATGTGTAATTGTACGAGAAGAATGGTCATCATCAATAGGAGGTGGTACATTCAAAACACCACAAAGTTTTAGAAGATTTTGATGACCTATTCGGGCAAAATTTGCATCTAAATAACAGATTAATTTCTGCGTTACTATATTACTAAGAATAAGCTTACCAATTGCGCTTCGAATATTAATATCTTGTTTAGAAGTTTTTGGACATTGTTTAGATGTATTGATTTTAATTTCGTTCGAGCAGTGACATGTAAACACCAGAGAACAGTATAATCCTAAAATATATATGTAATTATTAAGTTTTACGAGAAAGAAGACAATATAAACAGTACCTTCCCTTTTTGCAACAGACATATCACCATTCTATTTTGATTTACATGAGATACAAATAGTTTGTTTCATTAATTCTAAC